GAGCCAGACCCGGGAAATCTAGCACCACGTTTTCCTAGCAGTTTCAAGAACTCTAACCCCAAGACCGCGAGGTCGCAGGTGCCATTCGGGAGTTGAGTTCTGACCGTACTTCCCTGTAAAGTAAAACCATTCTGTAAATCATTCAGAATCCAATATTAAGAATGGGGGGGGGGGGTGTTAATTTCCCATTGGTGCTCCCACGTCCCTGCACGTTTCTTCGTAAACGATCGGCAATTAGAGCAATGCATATCTATGCATTTTCTATCTTTACATTTCTTTTTGTAAGTGGGAAAATAGATCACCTTAAAAATGCACAATAGAATCTTCTTGGGGAATGTTCTACGTGACAAGGAGAGTCGGAAATGAAAGATGATTCTTCTAGTTGAGAAAGAAATCTGCAATGGAACGGCGAGCCCCCTCCCATTTCAGAAGCCCGTGATGTGGCCCTTAGTAATCGTGTACGTGTGTAGGACTGAGTTAACTAAATTTTTTAAAGGCCTAGACTGTAGCATTTCCATCAGCAATTGCGTGAAACAAAACGGTAAGAAAGATCTTCAGAAATCTTCCATCTGTAGCTCACTCCCTCTGTTAGAACAACATCTAATATTAAACCGAAAAGCTACAATTGACACCATCAAAAGCAAATCCCAGCCAGAGCAGAAGGTACTTGAAACCCGAATCTGCATTCCGCCCCTCTCGTACGCCGCTCGGAGGTGGGGGTGGCGGTTTGTCCGGGTGCCTGGTGTATAATCGGGTTAATCCAGTAGACAAAGGATAAACCAATAGCCCTCCCACCTCACTTCCCGCTCCCCTTCCCCTCCCCCTGCTTCTCTCCCCGTCGCCCCCTCGAGGGGGAACAGAAAAGGGGAGAGCCTGTCTTGCAATGGATTCCGAAGAAAGTCTCAAAACCCGCAACTGGTTTTTAATGCTAACACTGCCTGTCCGGGATTAGTCTGAAACGTTTATTCCCTTCTCCTAGTGGCGGGGAGAAAGTTCCTTAAATCCGCCGAGCTCAAGGTTCGTCCTCCTGGCCTCTGGGGAAAACTTTAAGGTCAGTGTTTCCTTGAAACTAGATCAACTGACCCCGCCGTGCCCAGCCCGGCCCCGCGGGCACCGCGCGTGACGGCGGCCGGGGCGGCAGGAGCGGCCCGGGTACGCGCGGGGCGGCGCGGTTGCCCTTTTGAATGCCTCCTGCGGCTCGGAGCGCTGGCGGGCGCTGGAGTGTGAGTGAATGTAGCCCCGCGGAGCCAATGAGCTGGGACCGGATGCGATATATCCTCTGGGACAACAACTGCTCTGTTCCGCCTCGGATCCACATGACGCCATTTACTGCTGCCGCGGCCGCCGCAGAGCTCCCTGCCTCCTCCGGAAAGGCGAGGGCGCAGGCCAACGGCGAGCCCCCCCGGCCGGGCCCCAGACCCTCCTCCTCCTTCTCCTCCTCCTCTTTCGCACCCACCGCCCCCGCCTCGGCCTCGCCGCCGCGCCTCCACAACGCCCAGTCTGCACCGCCGAGAGCTGCGCGCCGCAGCGCGAGCGGAGGAGAGGGGCCGGCGGAGCGCGCAGCGCCCAGGCCCCCGCGCCCGCCCGGCCCGGCTCGGCCCGGCCCGCCGCCCCGCGCGCCCCCGCGCCGCCTCCGCTCAGCCGCGGCCGCGGCCGCACGACTTGGCCATCTGGCTTTTAGGTCCTCGCGAAGGCCGTTTTCTTTTCTCATTCGCTCATCTGCCAGGAGAGGAGACTCGCCGTTGGCGCTTCGGCCTCCAGTTCATTGAGAAAAAAGGGGGAGGAAAAAAAAAAAGGAAATACTCCGCGTGCGCTTCTAGAAGGGGGGTCGCCTCCAGCCCCGAACTCCAGAGTGTTCTTCGGCTAGGACTTGGCTCCGGATTTTTTTTTTTTTTCCTCTCCTTTTCTCGTCCAGCCAATCGCTCAGAAGTTAGACTGAAGCAGAGTTTGGAAGGAAGGAGAGGCAAAAAGTTTGCATCAGGGCTGGATTTATTTGCACATCGCTGAAAGAAGAGAATCCAACGGAGAGGGGTTGGTGCAAAGCCGCGATCACGGTGAGGCGCGTTTGGCCGGCTCATCCCCTCCTGGCGCCGCGGCCGGCGCGTTGTGGGCAACATGGAGTAGGTGCACCCGGACCCGCAGTGGGGTCCGTCTCTCCTCGGGCCTCCCTTTCAATCACCCCGCAGGTTTTCCGTGGGGAGCCCGGGAGCTGCCCGCGGATCAGCCTCACCCCGGCCTCGGCCTGCCTCGGCGGGGTGTGGGGGGGGGGGGTGAGCGCGCGCGGGGTGCTGTGTCCCCGGCCCCACGACCCAGCGCGCCCGCGCTTGGGGGCTCGGGGTGGCGGCCGGCTCGCGGCGGCGCACTGGCCGCGAACGGGGCGCTGAGAGCGGGAGAGGGAGGGAAGCACTTTGTGTTTTCCAGGGCGCCGCTGCAAGCGCCCGGACTTCGAACCTGTTCTCTCCGGGGAAGGCAGGTCCCGGGAGAGGCCGTCCCGAGGCAGGGGCGCCGGGGTACCGAGGGGGCGCGGGTCGCTGCCTCGCGGGTGGAAAAAAAGAGGACAGGGTGGCGAGTGGAGGACGCCCCCGCCTCAGCTCGGCGTGGACTGCGGCGAGCACGCAGACGGTGGGAGCGTCGCCCTGCCTGGCGCCGCGTCTCCGCGGTTCGGAAGTGCAGCTTTCTCTTTTTTCCGTTCGCCGCGGTCGGCCTGGGTCACGCTTTTTTTTTTTTTTTGGACGATTGGGCTGACCCAGCACAGGAAGAAAGTCATCAAGCGGTCGTGATCGTTTTCCATTACCTGAAAATAGGTGGCAAGAGAGACTAGGGTTGGCGGGGGGGGGGGGGGGGGGGTCTTTTACTTTGATGGACTGATCCACTGTTTTTGTGTGGTTGCTGCTGGTTTTTTTAATTCCGAACCTTGTGCGTTTTTACAAAGCGGTTTCTGTGTCGGTTTGCCCCACCCTTATGCTGAAGTCCTTTCTCCCTCATCCTTACTCTGATCACACACAGTTCTTAATGGGGGGTTTCAAAGCAGGGGGATGATGAGGGAGCGCGGGGCGGGGGTGGGGCGGCTGCGATGGGGAAGAGGGATCGGCGGAAATCACTTTAGCAAACCCCCTTGAAGATGCTACATTGCACTGCAAGCATCGCGGCAAGTGTCCAGCTTAGGGACCTAGGTCTTGCATGCTCGGCGTAGGGCGCTGTAAAATGTTCTTAATTTTTAAAGCAATTTTTCTGTGACTTGAAGGAATACATACATGCATACACATGTATATTTTTAATATACAGGCGTGTGCACATTGCAGGCATTGCCCCTTAGGTCAGCGCAGGGTGGCGTCGCCGAGTGTGCCAGGGTTAGATGACCCGGCTCTGTGTCTCAGGCAGGACTTTCTTCCTCGCGGAGTCGGGGCTGGAAACCAGTGCCCTGCGTTCGAGGGCCTTGGCCGGAACGTCCTGCGATGGGCTGTGTGACCTCCGCCTGAGGGAGGAGCAGCTCCCTCTTGGAGCTGGGAGCCAGTTCTCTGGGGATGGGGAAGATTTCTATCTGGGAAGGCAGGGAGGGGTTCCTCCAGCGTTCCAGGGCATGTTCCATTGCGAGGCGCCCGCGCCCTCCCCCCCACCCCGCCCCCAACCCCGGCCCCGCCTGTCTGTCCGTCCCGGGATTGTGCGCTGGGGGCCAGCTTGGCCGCTGGGCTGCGTTCTGTCCTCCCGGAGAAAAGTCCCTCGGGGCTCCGACTGAGTCCCACCTGCTGGGGACGGCGTTGGGGCGCAGATAGAGCCGATAAACTAAGAACAGCTCTGTCTTGTCTGCCTTTCTGTTGGAGCTGAGATCCGGTTTCCAGCTCTGCCTTTTTCCAAATTGGAAGGCGGTGTGTCACCTGCCTGTGTTTTCTAAAAAGTCAGACTGGATGAAGGTCCACTTTTGCGCGTTTTTGGTCATTGTAGACTGGGTTGACAAAGAGGATGGTAGTTTTGAAATTGAATAGAGGGGTGGCAATCTAAACGGTTACTTGTCAGGATTGATAGATTTGCGATGTGACACTTGAATTTTTAAATCACTTCCTGTTATCACCAATCAGTGTATGTTTTCAATTATTAGGTTTTGGGAAATGGGCAAAAGCAGTTAAGATTTTGACATGATTGATTTCTAAAACAGGGAGAGCGGGTCTTTTAGCTGCAGAATTTAAGATGTTCTCCGAGGCTTTCAGGTTGTAAAATATGTGATTCTCAAGTTGTTGGGAAGTTGAAAATAAGTTCCTGTCTTTTTGTCGCTCGAGGTGTAAGCTTGCTCTATTGTATTCCTGGCACCTAACAGGATTTGAATTGATGTGTTTTCAATTCTGTAACTTCATGCTACTATATAGTTAATGCATGATTGTTGTATAAAGTGTATATTCCTGGGGAAGAGAAGTATTTACCCTTTTTTTGCATGTCATTTCATCCTATGGGATTTTGTAAAGTCACAGAATAGTTTAAGCTGTTTAATGTAAAAGCAGATGTAAAGTAGGCACTAAGAATTTCTAGGCTGTATCTATTGAAGTTCCAGGCAAAAATGACCATGATAAGTTGAAACCTATTTCACGATTTGAAAAGGTATTCAGCTTTTGAAAATGTCAGTGTGAATGCTATGTTCCAAGAGTACTTTCCTGAAGTTTTCACAGGGAACCTGAACCTTGCAGATTTTTTGCTTATACGAGTAAGGAATCGGTAACTCATGTGATTGAAGCAAAGATCAGTTTGGTGTCACTACACTTAGCAGGATTCAAGAACAGTGGGTACCTAGCTGTAATTTTTACTTTTGGGTGCAGGCGTGGATCAGACGGCTGTCCTGATACGCTCCATTTTCAAAGTCTTTCTCCAGGGGACGTGGGGAGTGAAGAGTTAAGCCGGGTGGGTGGAGAATGGGTAGTATTCTGGAGTGTAACCCGTCTCCTTCCTCTTGGTTTCCGCAGGAATTCAGATGTGTTCTAAGCCTGCTGGAGTGACTACACTTCCCAGACCTGATGGAGGCCAGAGCTCAGAGTGGCAGCGGGTCGCAGCCGTTGCTGCAGGCACCCCGTGACAGTGGCCGGCAGCGTGGGGAGCCCGACCCCAGGGATGCCCTCCCCCAGCAGGTACACGTGCTGTCTCTGGATCAGATCAGGGCCATCCGGAACACGAATGAGTACACGGAGGGGCCCACCGTGCTCCCCAGAGCTGGGCTCAAGCCTGCTCCTCGCCCCACAGCCCAGCACAAACACGAAAGACTCCACGGGCTGCCCGAGCCCCGGCAGCCCGCCCGGCCCCAGCACCCGCCAGCGCACCCTTCGGCCAGGGCCCCTCTGGCCCGGTCCATCAGCACAGTCAGCTCGGGCTCTCGCAGCAGCGCGAGGACCAGTACTAGCAGCAGCTCCTCCGAACAGAGGCTCCTAGGGTCCTCCTTCTCCTCGGGGCCTCTGGCAGACAGGATCATCCGAGTGCAGCCCAAGTCGGAGCTCAAGCCCAGTGAGCTGAAGCCGCCGAGCAAGGAAGACGTAGGACTGCACGCCTACAAGTGTGAGGACTGCGGCAAGTGCAAGTGCAAGGAGTGCACCTACCCGAGGCCCCTGCCGTCAGACTGGATCTGCGACAAGCAGTGCCTCTGCTCGGCCCAGAACGTGATCGACTATGGGACCTGCGTGTGCTGTGTGAAGGGTCTCTTCTATCACTGTTCCAGCGACGACGAGGACAACTGTGCAGACAACCCGTGCTCTTGCAGCCAGTCTCACTGTTGTACACGTTGGTCAGCCATGGGCGTCATGTCCCTCTTTCTGCCTTGCTTATGGTGTTACCTGCCAGCCAAGGGTTGCCTTAAATTGTGCCAGGGGTGTTATGACCGGGTGAACAGGCCCGGATGCCGTTGTAAAAATTCAAACACAGTTTGCTGCAAAGTTCCCGCTGTCCCACCCAGGAACTTTGAAAAACCAACATAGCATCATGAATCAGGAAGATTGCAGTCATAAGGATTGTTTCCCTCCGCCCTTCCTTTTTTTTTTTAATACACACATATGCAACCAACTAAACAGCTAGAATCTTGGCACTGTTGATAGAGGGTTGGGATATCCTGTGCTGTTTGCAGTGAAATGCTTTTTTCATCCATGTGCCATTTTAATTGATATGCTTGTTAGAACTCAGCTAGTGGAGCTCAGAGTATGGGATACAGACCTTGGTGACCTACATGTTGCATAAGCTAAAGCAATAGACACTCTAGGCGAAGTTTTTGTTTGTGAATAGTACTTGGAAAATTTGTAAATTAGCAGATGACTTCCCCTCTCCCCTCCCCCACCCCAGTTGTTTTCTCCAGAGATATTGTGCTATATTTTTGTATATACAATAATATTTGCAACTGTGAAAAACAAGTTGTGCCGTACTATACGGCACATTCACAAAATATTATACTAATATGTTGTACATTCGGAAGAATGTGAATCAATCAGTATGTTTTTAGATTGTATTTTGCCTTACAGAAAGCCTTTATTGTAAGACTCTGATTTCCCTTTGGACTTCATGTATATTGTACAGTTACAGTAAAATTCAACCTTTATTTTCTAATTTTTTTCAACATATTGTTTAGTGTAAAGAATATTTATTTGAAGTTTTATTATTTTATAAAGAAGAATATTTATTTTAAGAGGCATCTTACAGATTTTGCCCCTTTTATGAGGATGTGATAGTTGCTGCCAATGAGGGGTTACAGATGCATATGTTCAATATAAAATAGAAAATATATTAACGTTTGAAATTAAACTGAGCTGTATTGTCTTATTTTACATTTTCTTTGGGTTTTTTTTTTTTTTGAAGTGAAAAACCATTTTAGAAATAGCATTTCAGTGACACATAGTTTCACTTATCTGTGAGATACTCATGCTTGTTTTAAAGTAAAGTGAAGATTTGGCGATTTTCAGGGATAATTCTAGCAATCAGGAGAGAAATAATTGACCACTTGACTGACTTAACAGTATTAATCATAGGAGGGCTCATTTTGGCTCCCGTTGTTTTGCTGATTTGCAGACTAGCCTTTGTTTTACAGATTTAAAAAAAATCTTAAGTAATTCATTCAGGAGACTTACCTAAAAGATGAATCATTAGACTTTTTTTTAATATGAAGTTATTAAGAATGAATGTCAAGGCTGATTTAAGACCAGAGAAATGAGTTCAGTTCAACATTTATTGACTGGTCTCTATGTGTCAGGCATGTAGTATACACAGATCAATGCTTATAATTGAGGCAAAATGTTTTCTTGACTTGACTGGCTGTGTTTTTCCTAGTCTCTGGTTTTAGACTGTTAGGCTTATTGCCATGATACAAGAAAAAGACATGGAAAATATAACTTGTTTTGATTCAGGTACTGGGTATCAAGGAATGTCATCCTACATTGGCCTAATAATTCAGGCTTCAGCAGCCCCAACTTAGCTGTTTGAGAGGCCCTGTCTTAGTTGTTTAATCAGATTATCCAGGAAATTGTTAAATTTTACACTGCAGTATGGCAAAAAAAAAGTCAGTGTTTGTAGTTATCTTTTGGAACCAAACATAAAACAAGCTCTTACAAGCCCATCTTGACAAATACTGGGTTTTCTTATTTGTAGTAAGTCACTTGATTAGTCACTTCATGGCTGATTTTTCTTTTTTTCCCAAAAGCTTTTGCTGCCAAGAATCACCGGAAGTCTAGGAAATGATTTACCTGTCATTATTGTTTAATCTCTCGTTTCCTGTTCTAAGGTCTTAGTACAGGCTGTCTTCTGTTTTGTTTTTTGAAATTGGCTTTCAAGGAACCATATAGCCTCCTAAACCAAGACATTGCTATAATGTCTTGCAATAAAAGGCCACCCGTTGTGCCCTCTATGCTTTTCAAAAAACACAAAGCTGAATTAATTTGGAAATTATTTACTCTTCAGTTTCAACTTTGGAATACTGAATGTTGCAATTCTAATACTCTTCAGGTCTAATCCTGATGGTCTCAGAATTAGAATATTAGGGAAAAAATAGGGCAGAGTTTCTTATTCACTGTATAGTTTTTCAGGATTTGTAAAGCACACAAATTTTGATTAACTAGTTTCTGACTGTTCATCAGATACTGCCATATGCACGGGTAAAACTATTTTGTTATAGAAATTCTGAGAGTTCTTTTTTTTTCTTTTTAACAGACAAGCAGCTTTCAAAGTCTAATCTAGATAAATTTATCAGATGCCATTGGGTGTTTATTGAAGATGTAGATTAAGAATCTCTTTCCATGATTATTGAATCGGTTTCTTATCCTGTTGCTTAAAGATTTGCATTTTTAATCATTCCTCTAGTGATTGTGTATAGTTTGAGAGCTACTGACCTAGAAATTGCTAATTTATCTTTTTTTGTTTTTTCAATGGAATCCATTGTAAACCATAATTCACTAGTTTGAATGTGGAACATGGTTATAAACCAGCTGAAGCTAGAAGAGGACTTGGCATAAGTATATATATAAAGTCCTGATAAAAATTATTTAAAGATAAATAAGGAAAACTGGATTCCTCAAGAAGCTTCCAATTAATCTATTAAATGTTGAGTTTGTCTATAAACCAATAGAGAATTCATTTTCAGAATATAAAAAATGAAATATTAACTGAATATCTAAACAGGTTGAAAACAGCTGATGTTCACTTTTCAGTGTGTTAAAAGATTTTTCCACTTTTCCAGGTCATCACATTAAGGTGGAGGAATCATCACCTCAAGTTCATGAAAAGTCTTATAAATACCAGTTGATAAGGCAGTGGTCATTATTTGGATATTGTGATAGGTTACAAGTACAATGATACAGTAAGCATTAGTTTACTGCTTAGCATTTAGGGATATCTTTGCTATATATTCTGGTTTCTTGCCTTTTATTTTCTTAGAAACTATTGAAATTCATTTAAGGATGACAAATTGATTGCTGTTACTGAAAACAGTCATTTATGTGTGTTGAGATTTTAAGGCCCTGCCAGAGCTCTCCTTGTCAGAACATGCTCTGGGCATTGTCTATGAAAGAAGAAAGCCAAAACCAAGTGCAGGTACTCCCAACCAAACTTTTTGCATAAATTCTTTCTCCAATACACCTTTGTCTCAGGGACTACTCGCCTCCAGGTTATGTAAGATAGTGATGATGTCAGATAAATGAGTTCACTCTTTGCCCAGTGCAGAGAGATGCTAGATAGACAGTTGATGGGTTTGATGCTTTTGAACATGCATGTCAGAACTTTCAAGGGTTTATGGGTTTTGAGTTTCACTTGTAGTAACATCCCAAATTGGCCATTTACCCTCCTCTCTTAAATGTGCAGAAAGACCAGGATGTATGTGCCAAAGTCTCAGCTTTGAAAATGGGCTAAACAGTGTAGATCAAAAACATTGTTAGTCATCTTGTGCACAATAGTTCACACTATTTTAGTAAAGGAAAATAAAAAATAGGCATTAACTAGTTACATCAATAGTGTATCAATATCCATTCTTTGGTTTTTAGTATTTATTAAGACACAAGTGATGTTAATTTCTACTTTAGGCCAATTGCTTCATTTCTCTGTGAGATACCAAGGGTGTGTCTCCATTGATTGAAGACTAGAACAGAATTTTAAAATAAGGCCTGTCTGATTTCGCTGAACTGATCGTCAGAATGAAGCTTTACATCTGGATTACTTAACCACTGGTTTGGCCACTCATGGGAGGATAAAGCTGCCAGACTATAGTTTGGGTTTCATTTGGATATCATTCATGCCTCTATCTGCCTTATACCATGAGAGACAACTATATGAATAATGGAAGACAGTGTACATTTTACTTATGATAGTATACCACTAGTCAAAATTAAAAGATATTAATTTAACTTACAGTCAAAACAGAAGGATAAATATATCTAGAATATAATACTTATATAATACACATTATATTCTATATAGAGAGAATATAAAAACATATAGATGCATAGCAAATAAGAAAAAAAGATTAACACTTGACTATTCAAATGTCTCAGTGTTTTTCTTTTTTTACTTTTTGGCTATACAAAGAGGCATGTGGGATCTTAGTTCCCCAACCAGGTATCAAACCCGAGTCCCCTGCATTGGAAGGCAGATTCCCTGGACCGTCAGGGAAGTACTTCACATTTTTATTTAAAAGTACCTTTTTATCAACCTAAAGAATTTTCAAAAACCAGTCTTAGTTGGTAACTAATATTTTTTTAACTATTAAAGGAGATTAGAATGAAGCCTGTTGCCTTGGCCTCTGGCTTGGCTACATGAGTATATAAAGCTTCAGCATACCTTAAAGGAGTTTATTTCTCAAAACCATTCTAATGCACAGAGAAGAAATAAAATTTTAGCTTAATACAGGAACCACACACCCCTACCCCTGGAATAGAATTTGAGCCTGAAAATATCAATAATTATGCATTTCAGTTTAACACTTTTTATTTTTGAATGCCTACTCCTAACCCATCATAGGGCTAGCTGATGATGTAGAAAAGGAAAGGGTTAGTGACTAATGTAAGACAGAACTTTTCACAGCGAAGGCGCAAGCAAGGTGCCATGAGACACAGGAGACGGGTAAAGCACTGATGTGTTCTCTGTGGTGGGGGGTAGTTCTCCAGGGTTTTGCAATGGTTGTGTATATGTGTGCTCACTCAATCGTGTCCAACTCTTTGCCACCCCATGGACTATAACCTGCCAGGCTCCTCTGTGGGATTTCCTAGGCAAGAATACTGGAGTAGGTTGCCATTTCCTTCTCCAAGGGATATTCCTCACCCAGGGATCGAACCTGGATCTCCAGTGTCTCTTGCAGTGGCAGGCAGATTCTTTACCATTGAGCCACCTGGGAAGCCCACTTAAATAGCCATGGAGTTTTCTGCTCAGGGAGATGCAGGAGGACTCCATTTATTCATTAAATAAAACTATGTTCACCATGTTTGTATCTTAAATTCTAAGTGAAATGTAG